TTACTAATGCAGTAACAGTAAGTAAAATTTGAGCTGTTAATTATGCTTTGGTTCTAGTGATCCCTGATCCCATTTATTACCATGTGGAAACAGAGAATTAGTGATTGGAGGTTACCTTTGTCATTGTAATGACTGTCTTGCAGAATAAAATGTTAATTCTGTCATGGCACAATTACAAACCCCCCCCCCCCCACAAAACCGATTACACTTCCACATCTTTTTTTTTTTTTTTTTGGTAATACAAATAGCCAGGCTTGGCCAATTTTTTCTAATATGGCCTAAACATCCAGACTTCATTAGACCAGCAAATGGTTGATAGTTTTTCTAGTGAGCCAATTCCTCAAGATCTTATTCTGTAAAATGACTTCCTGTTATCTCGAGTGATGCTTTCTTTACTGTTTCTGTTCTCAGGGGAGGTCTTGCCAGTGGTTCAACAGTCCATTCATAAGTAGTCAAAGTATGTACACCAAACTTTGATTGGCTGAGATTCCAACATTGGTTAAACCAAATATGACTGAAGTGACATAACTAGCAGTCTGGGACTATTCCCTGTGATCTATAAAAATTGGGGGCCCAGCCAACACTGGTACCTGATCTTGGGTCTGGTGGTACAGATGTTAGTTCCACTGCATTGTGTTTACTCTAAGCTTCTGACTCTGAGTTTGCCCGTTAGTCCTTACTCACTGACCTGGGATAAAGTACTGTTAAGACTCATGTTTCTGTTGAGCCGTCTTTGGGCTCTGTTTCATTTGTCCTTTCTCCAAGGTCAATATAGTGCATATATTGTGCTTGCCTTTGTGGTCAGATAGGTCCAGTGCCAGTTCTTTATTTTAACAGAAAGCATAAAGAGACTGATGACAGGCTGGCTCAGAGGTCTTGGGTAGAGCTTCTTGACTGCTTCCCTGAATATACTCATTGTATGTATGTTTTGATCCTGCTTGCCTTGTACCATCTGTGGACTTTTCTCCTGACTTATTTTCCTGTCTATCTTGTTAGCTTGGCATTAAGGGTATACTTTCAGTATTTATTAAGCCGAATACCAAATCAGAGCATCTATTTGGTAGCCAAATAGAGATTCTCGAATACTATTCTGCTATTATTCAGCTCCATTATACCCTATGGGGCCATTATAGTTAATTCACTATCTCTTAGGGTATATTCAGTGGTCGAGGGGGAGGAGGTTTGAGATAGAGTCACCAAATTTGCAGCATAGCTGCTGGAGCCTCTCCCCAAAAGGTCCCCAAGTTTCAAAAAGACTGGATGAGGGGATCTAATTCTATGGGCACCCAAAGAGGGTGCCCTCAACCTCCGTTTTTTCCAATGGGAGGAAAATAGCAGGGCAATACAAGCCCAGCAGAATGTCCCAGATAATATCTGCAGTAGAAAGTGAAGTGTGTGAGGGGGGAATGTTTGCAAGGCCAGCAGCAGAACCAGTGCCAAAACCCAACAGGCCAAATCTGAGAATCTCTGAAGTAGAAACT